ATTAGGTCATGCAGTCCTCTTGTTTGTTTCTACACTGACATTACAGGCTTGACTCAATTTTCCATAATTCCATGTGCCTGCTCACTTGAGATGCCTTGGGGAGGCCAAGGTATCATTAAAGAACAGAAAAAGCACAGGACTTTTAAAAGGTCTCCATCTGTCCTGAACAGAAATCAGCATAACAGGCCATCTCAAAGGATACCGGTTACCTATGTGGGGCAATCTAAACAGAGCTTCTACACCAAATAGCACTCCACTGTTGGATGCCCAACCACACACAGATGTATCTTCAGGTGAGCACATGGGGCTGAGTGCCAAGCACCCACTGCTGTCAGTGGACTTGAGAGAGACATTAAATTCATTCTACACTCAACACCTAAACCTTGTAACTTGAACAGCTCCCCTGATGCCTCTGACTCTACACACAAAACTTGCATTGACAGTCAAATATGATACTCAGCTCACCCTACGGAGTATGGTATCTGATACTCAGATACCAAATTAACAAGCCAAAGTCCACCCTAAAACTAGATGGGATTATTACCAATACAGGAACCACAGCTTGGCCCATGGAACTTGAGGCAAATAAGCTCAACTAAATATTTCTAGATCAATAATCATTGTAGCATCTTTTATAGTCAATGCAAAGATACTGATGCCTTCAGAGCTTGATTCAGTTAAATGCATGATTTTGGACAAGACTTATCCACAGCTACCCATATCCTCCAAAGCATACAGGAACATGCTCAATTTCTCTTAATGACAGCTGTAGCTAACTTATACAGCCATGCGTTCATGATGTCATCAGCTTTATTCCTTCTTCCATCATGTTCCTGTATTGTTCGTTTTCTTCGTTCCGAGTGAGTTATAAACCTTAACACCCTCCCTTAGTCACTTTCTTCAACAACACTTAAAACAATCTTAATGAGACCCCAGATGGTAAGAAAGTAAGAAAACTGCTGTCTGGTATTTATTTAAAACAGAAGTCAGATCACACAGAGAACTCTGCAAGTTCACCAGCACCGATCAGCCATCAGACGGATTCAGTACCTGAGATTACCGAGAGACCAACAAAACAGCACTACAGTCAAGTTACAGCTCTGTTTGGTGAGTGCTATACTTAGCAAAGTTCTGACACTACATTAGATGTTGACAAATTAGCCTTTCAAGGTTTATAGCCCCATGATAATTCTGACTCTACCAAAAGTGTAAAGCACCCTTTTTCAAACCTCACCAGATATACCAATAGTAAAGTTAGCATCAATAATTCCTTGTCCTCTATTTTAAGCTATGGATAAAAACTGACAAGTTAGAACAACAAGTTTTACAGGAGAAAAAATGGGTAACAAAGGAGGCAAATACTTGAAAAAAACCAAAAATAATTCAAACATTTGTTAGCATTTATGTAATGAAGGAAGACTTGCATACATATGGAGAAACTGCACGTCTGCCGTGTGTAAAGCCTGCTAAATTATGAAAACATCCAAGAGGAGTGAAACACCAGACCAAAAATGCCAATCTCCTAAACGAAATTAACAAAGTAAGATTACCTTGTTCCAGTCTAAAGCATAGGGAACGTTTTGCAGCTTCTATCTCAGGAGTTGGATGATCCAGAACACGTCTGCACCACTGCATAGGACTCAGTGATTTCTCTCGTGGAGTGTGAGTCTTGGTAGGCAAGACGTACAACCTTAACCAAAACACACAGAAGTATGAGCAAGATAGGCAATACTGTGAAGTTGGCTTTTGTAAGGTCACTTTCCTATTAGATACTAATAATTTATAACATCTAAAGCCCTGCAAAAGAATATCTAATAAAAAGAAATATATTCTGAAATAGAACAGTTTGCATTAGTTTTCTTTCTTCCCTCCTCAGAAAAACAGGTGGCAAAATATCTGCTCTACAGGTCTGGCACGACCAAACAAAGTTCAAGTAGATTTCATGTTAAAATCTTCTGTCTAATCACTACCATTGTCTGAATTTTAGCACTGCCCAAAGTTCAAATGCATTAGGTGCTGTACACACATCAAAGGTGCTCCTGCTCTTCCCTATATTTACTGGTGATTTAGGTAATTTCAGAATCTCATTTTGTCTTCACCCAGATGAACTAGATTTTGGCCAAGTCATATTTGTAATGATTAAAAAATATTTGATGAGAAACACTGAAAACCTATTTTCAACATTCAACACCAGAAAAAAAAAAGCACATATGCAAAAAAAAGCTAGTGTATGTACATTATTCTCAGACAAGAGCTGGCATCTCTTGATCAGTTGCATATTAGGAAACCAGGTTTCAAAGCAGATTTCATGGGAGAATTCGTGAGGCTGAGATCTGGGTTGCTACTGTCGCCCTGGCAGATTAGCAGGCACAACAGATGCCGATTCACCTGGGAGAGCGCAAATCTTCCAGGAAGCAAACTATTCTTGTCTGCTGGACTAGACTCTGACTCACAGATCCCAGGCCTGAGCACCACTGAGACAGGGGGCTAGGGACACCCAGAGACAGATTCTCAAGGCACCAGAAAAACACTCCACAGACAGTAAAGAGATCAGGCCTGTACAAAAGGGCAAGAAAGGCAAGACCAAAAACTAAACAGGATTTTGCCGCTCAAGGGGTCACCAACAGGTAGCAGCAGCCTTCCACCTTCACAGTTTTGGCTCAAGAGCCACCCACATCCCACCAGAGCACCCCTTCTCCAGTGTCTGCTCCATAGAGTTTTTCACCTTTGAAGTCAATCAGCACTGTCTAACCAGTTCACAAGGAATAAAATCCTCACTGTGATTGCTATCTCTGTCTTGGCAATCCCAGCAAAGATCAATTATTGAATTGCTCTGAGGAGAGGACTCATCTCCCCAGACTTCCTGCAGTGCCTGACCACACATTTAAAAAAAGGATACTGAGAAAACCAAGAAGCAAAGGGAAGAAAAGCTTTCAGGTTTCCTGTTAACCTGCAGAAGTGCTTCAAAAGCTGAACATCTGACTGATGATCAGACCCTCCTGTAAAAAGCTGAACACTACAAAGTAGTTTGATTTGTCTGCAGTTCCACAGGGTTGGCTGGTTTCAGGGTTTTTGTAACTGAAGTGAAAACAAAAAAGCAAAAAAACGCAAGCAAAACACAAAAAACCAAAAGGTACTTGAGGCCTAAAATTACTCAACAACTAGGATATGCACTGAAGGCTTTGGCTTTCGAGACAGCAGTTTGCTTTAAAGACTGAGATTACAAAAAAGCCCCAAGCAACTGGCATCACACGCCTGACCTTTCATGGACAATGACAGAGATTTATCCTTGAACTAAAAACGTTCAACAGCTGAAACCCCCCATTCTTAGTGGAATAAATTTGTTAACAAGCCCCTGACATAAAATTCTGCCTGTGGACACATAGATGTGTGACATAAAGGTACATTTTGGCACCTAAATCTAGGATTGCTCCCAGGGAGGAAATCAAATTGGAAATCTCACTACAGCACATAATGCAATGACAACTTACTACCACCCTAAAATGTAAACAAGGAAAGCATTTTGTTTAACAAGACATTATCAAACAAATTTGATATTCCTTAATGCTGGGAAAGCTGGAAGTCAGAACCAATGTAAAACTGGATTTAAGTCTGGACTGATAAGCCCAAACCAGCCCTGCACAGACCAACCACATGCACAATGAAGCAACGCTGAGAGAAATTTCCACACGATTTGTACATGATTCTCAAAAGCCATTTCCAGAAACACAGTATTGTGCACCATGAAGCACATACAACATTCAGAAACATTTCTGACATTTAGATTAATTTTTGAACACTTTATTTTCTACCAAAATTAAGAACGTTTGAACACATCTCAGCTTCTTTATACTGCATTTTATTCTTATCTGACGTTAACTTTAGCTTGATTCAAAAACTAATCTCGTAAGAAAGAAAGCTACATGGACGCTTACACACGTACTCTCAACCTGTTATTAAAATAAAGATCTATATATTGCCACTTCAAAACAATTCAGGATCAGCGACGTTCCACATGATTACACAGCCAAGATAGTATTCCAGCACTGTCCCTACGATGTCCGCCCACGTTGCTGAAACAGGTTTTGAGGCACTAGCTTTACTGATTTACTTGTATCTCTACCTGGCAATCTCCCCTTCTGTTTGTTTTGAAGGGATTCGTCCAGGTCGATTTTACTTTTCGCTTTAGTCATTCGCTATCCATTTCCGATTTATTCCATTTACTAGCACCCTGCCGTGCCTTTTGGAGCTACATGTGCGCGTAAAACACACAATTCAGATCAACATCTAAAAGACAAAAGCCCTCCCAAATCCCTGAAGATGAGAGACAATTTGGCAGAGATTTTAGGATGAGGAGGCAGCGCTGCTCAGATCAAGGCTTTCCCGGAACGAAATTCCGCTATTTTTAATTCCTTATGTAAACACGAGGCTGAAACTAGGCTGAGATCTGTACGATATTCCTCGGGGCGGAAAGCGAGCTCTGCTCCCCACCGAGGGCGCGACGCCACGGGCCAGCCGGGCGGTGAAGCCCCGACCTGAGCCGCGTCCCTTCCCTCGGCAGGGCGGCATGGTGTGGAATGGGGATGGAGAGGAGGAAAAAAAAAAAAGAGAGGGGTGAAAAAAAAGCAGATTTCAGTCTAAGCAGGGAGATCAAGTGGATTTGGGGGCTAATGCTAATCAGAGCCGGGAGACCGCTACGGGAGGCCCGGCCGGGGGGCACAGCCGGGCCGGACCGAGGAGCAGGGCAGGGCCGAGCCGCACGTACCATGTATCCTCGTCCTCTCCGCAGCCGTCCTCCAGCTCCAGCACCGCCACCTCATCCAGCACCGTGGCCGCCGCCCCCGGGCCGCCGNATCCCCTCCCACTCCGGCAGCCCGAGCGACGCGCACACGCACTCGGCAGGAACAAAGAGCCGCCCGGCGCCCCCGCCATCCAGCCCCGGGCAAGGGCGGCGGGGAGCACCTCTGAGGGGAGCCCCGGGTGTTTAAAGAAAGGTGCCTTCCCCCCACTGCACCCCACCGCGTCTCGCCCCGCCCGCGGGCTGGATCCGGCCCAGGGCGCCGCGCCTCTCGTGAGCCGTGTAATTAGAGCCTGGTGGTGTCAGGGTTGTAATTATGCAGATTGAGAGTGTGAGGGGAATGGGAATCACAAATAGAGGCTTTGTTGGGCTTGAAAGGAGCTAATTCAGCCAAAAGCTGCCGTTTGTAGGTTTGAAACGTGCTGATTCTGGGAGTTTTGGCTCAAAGCGAGGAAAGCGACGCGTTTTTCAAGTTGTGTCGGTGGTGAAGGAAAGACTGAACCGAGCATTGCAGAAAACGACGTAACTATGTATTGGTTATGTACAGGAGAACTGAAGTGAAAGATGCCCTCGTGTTGAAATGACTCCCTTAACCAAATCCAGACACGTAGGTGCGCTTGTAGCTTGCAAATCTTTGAGAGTGGGATGAATATTGTTCACTTATGGTAGTGGTTTTGCGTTGTCTTTCATTGCCCAGGACTGTAAGAAGCCATTGCTTGGGTCCCTTGTGTCACCTAGGAGGTGAGCAGAGATTCGGTGTTACCCAAGACAGCTCAGGCATCACACAACCCTCCTTCAGTTAATTTCCTCTGGCTACAGCTTTAGGGGACAACCTTCTAAGTCGCAGTCCTAAGTTTCCTACAGCTCTGATAGGAAATCGGGAACAAATCTCGTAAATCAGGCAGGTTCAGATTAGATATTATAAAATACTTCTTCACCAAAAGTGTCATCAAGCATAAGAACAGAGTGCCCAGGGAAGTGGTTGAGTCACCATCCTGCAAATATTTAAAGGATGCATAGATGTGGCACTTGGGGATGTTTTAGTTGGCATTGCTAGGTTAGCAGACTCGGTGATCTTTGATGTCTTTGCCAGCCTAAATGATTCTGTGAGTCTAAGGGTTCTAAGTTGCCCAGCTACCCACTAAAAATAGTCACTGGTCAGTCGCTACCCAATTCTTGAACATCAGCTTTAGGCAGAGCACTATCAGCCACTGCTGCCTTCGCCCTGCTTTGTTACTGTCTCAGGTTTCTGGTGTAAGGACAAACAGGCACTGATTCTATGTTCAGGGCATCAGTCAACTTTGAAATCATCCAGCCTGTCACAATTTTGTCTCTTTAGTTTATAATCTGGAAACTTTTTTCTGCACAGGACAACAGCACTCTTGCAGTATAGATAATAACAACCAGTTCTGTAAGAATGACTAGAAAAGAAGCTAGAGTGGAGCACAAAGCATTGACTTCCAGATGATATACTTCACATATATCAGTGAAGAGAGTAAACACACCCCTCCCCCTGCAGTGTACTGCTTTGTAGCCAGATAGCGCTTAATCTAAAACTTTGGTGGTGTCTTTGTCCCTTTGGAAGAAAGAAGAGGGAAATGTTGAGAGTGTAAAAGCCATCTGGCCCAAATTCTTCCATGTTTTATTAGAATGAGTAGCAGAATCTAGTTTTCACTACTACAGATAGCTGTAATCTTAATTCCCTCAAGTAAAAGGACAATTGAGCTTCTTTCTACATGTTTAGTCAGGGGAAAAAATGTGTATCTCTCAGTTTGTTATCACTAATAATGGCACTAGCCTTAATTCTTAGAAGTGCTTTGTTAATCCAGTCAGATTGCAAAATGATATAAAAATATTAATTGGCAGCATATGTAATATTGAGTTTATTATACTTCACTACAGTGAAAGAAAAAACCAAGATGAAATTTATTATAATATCAGTGCTGGAGGATGCAACAAGGCAGTAGAGATTCAGTTGTATATCATAACATTTTTTTCACTGAAGGAGTAGTTAGGCATTTTAATAAGTTGCCCGTGTAGGTGGTGGAACCACTGTCTCTGGAAGCATTCAAGAGGTGTCTGGATGTGGCAGTTGGGGATATGGTTTAGGGGTGATTATAGTGGTGCCAGGTTGATGGTTGGACTACATGATCTTGGTCTCTTCCAACCTTGATGATTCTGTGAAATACTCAAAATAGATTCAAAATGGAGGAATTTTTTTTTTTTATTTTATTTTTTCTTATCTTACTTGAACCAAGGATGCAAAGTCTTTTAGTGGACCAGGGAAAAGGCCCAGTAAATGGGTCTCTGAAGTTTTCAGTTGTCAGAACATGACAGTGTGATCTGGATATTGCAGCACTAAAAATACCTTGATGCAGACATCAGTTTGGAGATACATCAGGACACACATTTAAAGACGGGGTAGAGTACGTAGCATCATAGCACAGGATCTTAAGTCGCCATGGGAATGGTTGTCCTCAGTTATGAATACAAGTAGTTGAAAATTTTCAAATGCCCTCTACTGTTTCTGTCACCCACACAAATGTGGCATGCAGGCATTCATTTCAGAACTCAGCTGCCAAAGAGAAAAAGCTTAGGACTCAGCGTTGTGCCCTAGTATGGGTACAAATGCATCTTTCCCAGACAGACACATTGATCATAGACATCATATCACCAAGAAAATGGTCCAGAGATCAACTCTTTCTTGACTGGGACTTCTTAAGTGAGATACCCAGTAGTATGGGTAGAAAACAGCTTAAAGTTATGCATAGTTGAACTACCGTGCTCCCAGTCAGCGTGGAAGATGCTGGCTTTTCCAGGCATTTCCTGTACAAGTGGATCTAGTAAAGGGAAAATATGCACTTCACTGTGTTATGTTTGTTGCTCTATTTTAAGTGTACTTGTAATTTCACTAACACATAATTCCACTAATAACATAGCTTCAAAAAGAGGTGTTGGCAGGTAAAATTTTTGTTGATGAATACACTGTCCCATGGTTTTCAGGTTGGTCTGTTTGAATACTGCAAAGATGATTTGAACATCTTAGTATTTTCAATAGTTTGGGTTTTTAAATATAAATTACACTCCTCCCAATATTGACATTACTAATAAATTGTTAATGGGCTCCATTCAGTAGCCCAGCAATAGCTGATGAGTTTGATCAACCCAGAACTTCATCAGCACTTTACAAACCACACTGAAGACTTGATGGTTCCATTCTTTTTTTTAAGGCATTGATAAAATGTGTCTAATAACAACTCCAAACACCCTAATGTGCCCATGAAACCTGTTACTCCTGGATTTGAGAAATTATATGCCCTAAATCAGTAGAAATCTGCTATAGGATGCTACTTACACAGTATCCTATAGTAGGAATTTCTGAATCAGCATAGTTACTAATAGGCTGTCGATGCAGAGAACAAAGAAGCAGGAAGTCCACAAATCCCATCTGCTCTTTTCTGGTAATAAGCTTGTTGCTTTATGCAGCAATAGCTGCAGGCTGGATCTGCCTTTCAGGCAAGCCAGTAAAGAATTAATTGCTGTAATCCAGTCTGGGCTATACAAAAGATGGGTAACAATAAGGTCAAAGCACGGACAGTAAACTCCTAAAGTCTTGTAAGGTTATTTTAAAGCACAATTCCAGTCTGAAAAATGACTGTGAAAGTAGTTTTATAAAAATAGAGCCCCTATCATTCCAGAAGTCCATCCTATCCAGTATTCTGCCTTTAGCAAGGGCTGATAGTAGCTTCATAAGGAAAATATCTCAGAAACAAGAGAAATATTGAGGGATATTTTCCCTCTTTTAGAAGTCATTGAATCAGGACATCTGGATCATTTAATTTTGATAGCAACCAGCGTGTAATAATATTCCATTTGCTGAGACCCATTTTTAAGCCATTTAAACATTAGGGCTCTACAACCCCCTATGGCAATTAGAGCTGCAATTTAATAATGTATTGTTAGAAAAACTACTTCTTATTATCTACTTTAAATCTGCTGCTTAGTAATTTGATTGGGTGCCCCTTAGTTCTGGTTTTCTGAGAAAGACAGAATGATTAATCATTCTCTATTCAGCTTCTCTTTGTCATTCATGACTATATAAAATTTAGATACTTCTCTTCCCAGCTGACAAGCCCTAATTTATATAGCCTTATCCCCACAGAAGTCGGGCCAAACCTACCATTGTTTCCTGTCTCACTCCATAATGAAAATGGAATTTTCTAACCCACTGTTTTCTTTCTATTCTCACTGCATGTTTTCTTATAAAGCCAAATGATCTCAGTTAAAGAAATCAGCTTAACCAAAAGCATATTGGTGTCTTCAGAAACATTCATATATTCATGCCCCGATTTAAAAAAATCTGTGCACTCTCCTCCAATATATCATATATATCCAGATGCTTCTGTATTCTGTTATTTATTCCAATTTGTACAAATTGGCTTGATAAAAAAAAATAAGACTAAATGAAATGTAGTTACCTAGAGCAGTTTTCGTGTTTTTTTCAAGGCTGTTGCCCCAGCTGATGCTTCCAATTTCTTTGGCACCAAGCCTGCTTTGAATGGTAAGGTAAATGTTTCTGACATTGTTTCACTGTTTCAACAATCTGACTAATACCTGAGTTGGCCTAGAGGTTTTGTGTAGACACTACCTAGACTTAGAAATTTGTTACTGTTAAATTTATGTATTTACTCTGCATTATTTGAGCAATTAAACATTTTCCTTAAGTTACAGCATGTATTCTTCACTCTTGATGTCTCTTGGAAACATTTTGACTTCCTATTGCTAATTTCATGCTAATTGACTTTCTCTTTTTTTATATTGTTTCCTTCCCTGAACTACCCTGGTTCCTTCAAGTTTTTTCCTTATTTAATTAATATTAAAGTGAATTTAATATTAATTAATATTAAATTGTAATCACCATTAGAATGGTTACATTAGAATGGATAACAAATCCAAAATTGCATCATTTCAGTGAGCTCGAGTTGCTCCAGTGCTTGTGGTATCCAAAGATATTGTCTGTGAATTAAGCTTAGGGTCTGCTAGTTTATAGATCCATCTAGAAGAATTATCCATGACAGCTCTTGTTCAAGGGGTTGTTATTTGATTGTTATCAAATCACTCTGACTTTCAAATGCTTTAGACCCTCCTCCCTTCCCCCCTTCCCATCCCTTCTGTTTATTACAAACTGAAAGCATTAGCCTGAATCTTGCAAATCAGGTTGGGTTTCTTTCTAATGATCTTCATCGATAACAAAGACTAATTAGACTTTCAAAGAAGTTTGAATATTTACATTGTCTCCAGTATACAAGCATATTGGAGAGTATAATTTGGTTTACCACTGATGAATAAGAAAGAGAAGGTTGAGGGGGAGATCTGATGTTCAAGGTTGTTAAAAAATGAGCTGATAATCTAAAAGTAGAGTTTTTGAAACAGTGTTTGAGTGTGAAGTGCTGAAGACCACAATGACAGAAATATAGCTTCTCTCCAGGAGGCTAAAAATCCATGACACACCTTCTGCCAAGACTCCAGAGTTCAGCTTGACTTCAGGGAAAAGTGGTAGTTGATTCAGGAAAAATGCCTTATTTATAATAACGTGATTTTACCAAATCGTCTAATCCTGGTTATGATTTTTTCAATTTGTTTTCCCTTTTATTAATTTTTTGTCATCTTTACTTTTGTCTATTTGCATATAGCTGGAGAAAGAGATTCAAGAAGTTCATCAACTTTGCAAAAAAAGTGGAAAAAAATTACTATCCATGTTAACAAGTCCATCGTGTGGATACATAAGTGATTTTTACAGTTTGCAAAATGTTAGGAAGTGTAGGCCAACAGACTCAAGGCTTTATGATGCTGCAAAGTGGTTTAGAAGTTATCATCTTAAAAAAATAAACAGCAATATGCTTAGCATTGGTTATGTGATATATGTAGGAAAAATTAAATAACTGAAAAAACCCTCAGTCCAGCAGTGTTTGAGAAGGCACATCTGAGTGGCACCATAGCAAAAGAGCATGGAAAATTTGCAGTTGCTTGAAAGGCTTTTCTTGAGTCCAAGTGGATGTGTTAGCTTTTCAGATAGGAAATGGTTTAAAAAAATCAGTACCTTAACTTTCATTCAGATTCAGTTTGGTCAAGCAAGAATCTTTGCAGGAAAGCCCATGTAATTTATTTTCATAATTTATATTTTACTGTCAGATGAGATAGAAAAAAAAAAGCCTATAAAAATAGCGTACAAAAGCTTGCATGTAAAAACTTGTCCTTGCTAATCTATAACCCACTGAATCACAAAAGATACAATAAAATTGCAAAGATACCTAGAGGGTAATTTAGGTACAGTTACAAAACTTACATCCAAACTTTTTTTTCTGGACCCACTGTTCCATAAACTGTATAACTTGCAGAGTACTTGAGATCTTTCCTGCATCACTAGAGTGGCATATAACCTTCCTTGCCCTTCCTCCTGCTATGCCAGAACTCCTGGGTCTGGGGTAGTGATGGATCTATCACAGGTGGTGAATCAATCTTACTCCTTCTGGGTCCCTTTTGTCCATCCTGGAGACGTGCAGTCAGTTCTGGACACACTTTCAGGGCTCAGCAAGAGCTGGTCTAAAATCAGCCCTTCCTGGGACAATCTGGAAATAGAAGAAATGCAGTACAGCAAAGGTATTTCTTGAGTACATTCGCTGGATTAATGAAGGGTGTACTAATTGTGGTATTATGAAAAAAGTGTATTCTTCTTAGCTAGATCTTTTCCTTGTGTTTGTTCCAATTTCATTATGAGAAGTAAAGTCCCTGCTATCTTCACTCCCTGTTTTTTAATATGTGTTCCTACTGAGGAGAGTCTGATTCTGAATTAGAAGGCAGGGAAGTTTTTAAATAGTCCTGGTGATCTCCAGATTAAAACCCAGAAACTACAGTTCTCAAAGAATGTGCCCCCCTCTGACTGGGTATCTGGGATGTCTCTCACTAGAGTGGAAGAGGCAGAAAAAATATTGTTCCTTCCTGGCTTTCCTCCTTCAGCTTTCCACAGATGTCAGTCATGTCAGACCTGGTACGCTTGTTCCCTGAAGGAGTTTTGCTGTGAGAAAACTGATGCTTTGTTCAAAAGACTTTACTGTTACTTTGACATACGTCGCTTGGGCAAATGGATAAAGTCAATGCTCAAATGCATTATCAGTTGTGAAAACAACTAAAAACAGTGTTCAAACGTGTTATCAGTTGCATACTTCTGTAGATTTCCCAAATATCATTTAACCATTTGGCTATTTGAAATTGAAATACTACAAGTATGGTTAGCTGGATTTTCATTCTTAATTTCAAGATTTGAACTACGTACAGGGATAATATGATTCAAAGTTCCATGGGTGGAAACTCCCTGGAGGAACCAGAAGATGTGAAGACAGACCAATGTTTTCTGGAATATTCATCTTACAGTTGAGTTTGACTATTAATTTCAATGGCACCATTATTTACAACAACACTAGTACCATTAAAATTCCTTAATTGACTTATTTGCATAATGCTTTCATCTTTTTTGTAATTTCTCCCTTTTCTGCTTCTTTTAGTATTTAAACATGTGGAAAAAATGGCTTGAATGCCAGAAGTTTGTCCTTTCTTGCCAGAATTGATTTTGTCTTCTTTTTTTCTTGAGTAGGTAGTTTTAAAATGTTGGCTGCCAATTGTTTTGACCGCAATAGCTGTCTAAGCTCTCTAAACAGATGCCTGATGACTGCACAGCAATGCCAAGACTCAGACAAGTGCTTTTGGCATGATTATATTCAGATATTGATTCTAACAGGACCAAAACAGTCACTTTTAAGTCCTGGCACAGCCTGCAAGGCTGTAGCTGTCAATTTGTAACTGACACAGTTATAAAAACCCCACAAAAAACACATTCTGTTTCCAAGCAGCTTGCTTGGAAAGGGAGGTAAATGGAATTTTTCTTGGGTCATTCATACAGGTGCAGCAGTACCACCCAGAGGCCACTGCTGTGCTGGACACTAGACAAAATGGAGAGAGCTCCTGTCCAAAAGGGCTCAGAGGCTGGAAAGACAAAGATACTAAGGCTTAGAAGAGATTATCATATTCAGAGATATTTAGAATAGTCTTCAGATGAAACCCCCAAAATTTCACTCTCTCACTGTCCTACTCAAGCTAAATCTGACTGTAGACAACCCCTCTAATCATTCGCACTGCTTTTAATTCTTAATTAGACCACTTGGATGAGATGATGAAATTCCAGGATTTGGTCTTTGCTCCCAAGACAATCTATTTTTTTTATTCAGGAGTCATTCCCGAGTTATCAATAAGCATATAATGAATGTGCAAGCAGTGTGTGGCTATCCAGTGGAACATGGGCCATAAGGATCCAGCCTTCACTGGGCAGGGAATGTGGCAAAAAGACTACTGGGAACATCTTCTTTATTCCATACACCCAGCTGTTCCACTATGTTACACAACCTGCTTAGGTATGTTGGGAGAGACACTGAACTTTGCACTCCATTTTCTGGGCACAGTTCATCTGTTCAGAGAACACCATCTCCATGGTTTTAAAAGGTGGTGGTAATTGAGGTATTCAAGAAGGTCTGATTTGAGCAGATTGTGCCAAGCGTATTTGAGAATACCTGCAGATTCTTCTCTCTGAAATGCAAGTTTGAATGTTTGAAAGTCCTGAATGTTTCTAAGTCCTAGTTTTACTGATGCAGGACATTAGAGATTAGTTGCTCAGGCCAGGAAAAACACAACAGAAGAGGAGGCCTTGGAAGTCAAAAAAAGACCTTATCAGTTTAAGAATTCAGTTGTTCTGCATCAATTAAGCAGCTAAACAGAGCTACTTTGGTCAACAATTTCAGACTTTGGCACATCAAACCTACTTAAGTATTTAGCCTCTTTATCCTTTGTCTTTATGGAATGCTGGATGTCTGTGCTGCTCTGAAGAAAAATGAGGTGTTGTGATGCAGCAGAAGGAAAAAAAGGAGACATTTCTCCCTCTTAGTCTGGCATATGCTAGTCTGAAAGCTGAAACTACCTCCTGGTGTAACAGTAACTACAATGAGCAACGTGCATGATCAGAGAGAGAAACAAACCAAGAGAGTGGGTACTTCTCATTGTAAACAATGAGATTATGTTAAAATACCAAGTATCAAGGAAAGCAAGGAGTAATAGAGTTCTTACCTTATTGTTGTGAGTAAATAAACTGAACACCTGAAGCTATCTCAACACTACACACATCCCTATAATGAAGAAGCAAGGAATAGAGGTGACCTACAAAATAAATGCAAGATCCATTTGATGTTCTCTACAAGCCTAGCTAAAGAGACTGTGTGAAGTAACAGAGGGTATGTCTTGTCAAACTGACACTGTCCCCTCATCCTCTTTCAAGAGGAAGAGGATGAGGGGACATGTTGGAGACGTTTGTCATTCTGTGTCAAGCACTGATAGGGAGGGATGCTCAGGCTGAGCATTCTGTAGAAACCTACAGAGAATACAACAGAATATATTAACACAGCAAAGATGTTCTTATGACATTCCTTGTTCTTGTAAATATCAGTAGCTTTGAAGCAATCTACATATTTAAATGCATCAATATGCATTTTATGCATTATTTCACTCCTTTCCTCTGATTGCTTGATTCCCCTCCCTGCAGAGCAGTGCCCCAGCTTTGTAAAATAAAGTATCCATTACACACTGAAAAAATGGGCCTGATGAATCACAAACCCCCACATAATTTAGTACATCATCTCTCAATACAGCTTTTCGGTCTAATTTAATGCATTATTGAAAATAACACGTTCATTAAAACAGCTGCCAGCAAACTCTTCATTTGGATTGTTTTGTGGAAGGACTAGTCAAAGGGAAATGAAACACCACAGGCTAATGATATGCAAAAAGGAGAAAAAACATTTAAGTTTTGATACATTGGTATTGAGATGTTAATATGATTTTTCTTAATGAGTACTGCTCTGCCAGATTTTATATGGTAAATCACAAACCTGGTGTTTCTTCTTAGCCAACTTACAACATATAATGAAAAATAACAAAAAAAACCACATGGCACAATTACCGGGGCTGTTCAGTGAGGATAACTTAATGAGCATAGAATTATTATTTATTGTTTCTTATTGCTACTTCTCCATCAATGAGCATTTAAGCAGCAGATATTTTCATCCAGAGCTCCTGATCTCTGAGGGAGTGAACTAAAATCTCTCATCCCCTCAAACACTAGGAATTCCTAGATTCTTATGTTCTGGCTCAAATGAATGTCTAACATCTTCCACTGTAACTAGGCTTTAGCAATAAATGCTGGTCTGTCAACAGGACCAAATCTGTGAACATTAAAGTTTTGCCACTGCTTTATTCAAACCATTGCGCAAATCATTGTTTCCTGGTAAAGCACAGAGTTTTAACAATTACAGTTTAACTAGGATATGTCATCAGCAAGAGACAGACACCAGAAAAAATATCAATAATTAAAGATTTATTCGAGTTACTGACTTTAATTCATAAGATTTTCATAAAACTAACAACAACAAAAAAAATCTACTGTCTCATGTCTCCATTCCATAATCAGTTGAACATCCTTTAAGGCAGACAAAATCCTTACTCAGCTGCAGGCCCAGTGGTTTAAATTACACAGACATCCATACCTCCTGCCTCCCCTATGAAATGTGCAGTCAAGGAGAGAGAGTTTGACTGGGACAGCCACTCACCAGTCTATTATTAATCTATGACTTTAATACTTTGTATGCCTTTCAGCTCTTGCCTAGGTCCAGCAGCCTCCAAACACTAACTCTGTCATGGTCATATCCAGGAAGTCCTTTTAAACTGAGATGTAAAGCAGAAAAATCAGTTCTGAATAACCATAAACGAAAGCATCTCATGACAAAGACTAGTAGTCAATACCTTTGTCTGTCCAGTAAGCTACTGAACTATTGATTATTTTAGGCAACATATTATAACAGTGCATGAATTCTTCTTTCAGTTTCTATACTTGTATATACATACACTCTCCGAAAGGAAAAAAAAAATGCTTTCACTGTAGTCTCAAAGGAAGGAGCATATCTGACCTGGTATAGACATCTACAAATCTGAGTTGTTCATTCCAGGTTCCTTTGCAAACCATGGAAGTAAGATAGATGTACATTGGTTAACGTCACAGTAAAATAGATGTTTGCAATCTGACCAATTGAATTGCCTCCTAAAAATGTCTGCTTCTCTATATGATTGATCATGTAACTCAGAAAAAGAAGTCTACACTGTAGATGTATAAATTTAAGCAAGATGAATCCATCCAAAGTGTTTAGATAGTCAATTTAATAAAGTAGGAAATATAAATACAACATAATGTCATGCAAAATATATATTTCATTATTTCATGGCAACTATTTAGTGTGCACTTTTTAAAAAAATGGTCATTAAATAGTTATGAGAATTACAAACATAGAGTGGGGTGGTTTTACTTAAATCCCTCTAGCAATTTTTGTCTAGAATCCTTCTGCAGTTGCAGAGATGCATTTTCCAAAGATGAGTTGTTCCATCTCAAATTTATCATTTAAGTTACTTGGGAAGAACCTTTCTCTGGAGGTTGAAGGTGCAGTATGAACCCACTTCCTTCTGCATGAAAACAGCAGTTTAAACTGAATAGCTGACTTCTAAATGGCTAATCTTGACGAGGTGACTCCCATGCATGTTTTATTAAGCACAGAACTTTATATTGGAGGAAAAGGGAATACAGCCTTTTAAAAAAAAAAAAAAAGTGTAGGAATATCCTGACATTCAGAAAATTTCAATAAATTATCATTGATTTTACATACAATTTAGTGGTTTCATAGATCTGGTAAATATACTGACCAATATCTTGTTTTGCTTCCTGCAATGTGTGTATGAAAATGCATCTAAATTCTCATTAAATTAATTCCTTTGATAACCATGCAGTAGGACTTCATTCAGAGAATTCCCAGCAGTAAAAATGTATAATTTCCCACAGTGTTTTGAGTTAACAGGCCAATACAGTTAACTAAACAATAGTAACTTCTTCATCATATATTCTGTATATCAAAATTAGTAGATCCATTTTTCTGCAAGAGAGAAAAGATTGGTCAGAGATGCCAAGCAAAGCAGTATGGTCTAAATATCCTACAAGGAAACTTCAGATTTTTTTATTTTTCAGAATGTCTACTGAAGTCTAACTGTCTATCTTGTAACTTGAAATAAGACATAACAATTTACTGTGCTTAATACAAAGACCCTTGGTATATCTTTCTACAGTTTTATAACTGTTTCTATGCTTTGCTAATTTTCTAATCTGATTATTTGCAAAATTTCCCATTCCCATCAGATTTTGCAATGACTTAATAACAGAAATATTTTAAGGAAACAAATTTTTAATATAATATTAGTTAACATGATCTTATCTCAGAGTAAAACAAAATGTTCATGCCTTGCACATTTTTTCACTCACTTTGCTCCTCACAAAGGTAAGAATCATAATCACAGTGTAATATCTTCATTATGATTTCATAGAGTTTGTATCTTCTACTGGTTACAATTACTCCGCTAGGTGAAAATACCTTTGCTCCCTGGCTTATTTGTTTCAATAGAACAATCTGATTCTCTGATGGCCTTGCAATTTATTCTCACTTCCAGGGCAAGGTGCCATTGCCTCCCTCTAAGTGCCTCTATTGATTGCATAGGTACAACTCTACAGAGAGGCTTGAAGAGATGAACTTGCAGTGCGACCAAGATCTCCCTCACAGGTACAGAATAATTGTGTCTAGAACCTGGGGTTGGATATCATCTTAAGCACCCTTACTTACTGAAGTAGATGCTTTGAAAATGTTTAAGTACACACAAGAAGCAAAAGCAACAGCTCTGCTGTCATATACTGAAGTCTTTTGAATGAAGTTCACTAAATGTTTTTTCCCACATTCAGTATTACATGTCTTGTGCCTTACCTTTAACTTTGGAATAACAAGGCTCACAGTGCACAGTTTGTTTATAAATCCAAATGCTGTCTCCTGCTTTCAGGTCTTCCAGAGGTCTCTTACATACTTCGCACTTCAACACACAAGTCAAAGAATAAAAAAAATTAAAATGAAACATTTCTCTTATACTCATACCCAGCATGATTTCCTTTAGGAAACAAGCAACCCCAGACCAGAATAGGAGTTATTAGTGCTGCATCATAAAAACTGAACTCTGGAAGAATAGTTTTAGACAACAGGAAGTTAGGTATCTGACTGTCTCATCTTTAGGCATCTAAAGATCAGATACCATTGTCTCAACTGGTTGCCTAGGTACTCATTATACTCAACAACCCTGTCCTTCCCCCAGACATTTCCAAAGGGTACTTTTACTTTCCCTCTCATAGCTTAGGGGTTTATCCTAGAGTAAGATGTATCACCATTTTGAGATCCTTTTTATTCTTTACTGAATAAAGGAAGAATGATCACACATTATCATACAACTCAGAGTAGATCTTAAAGAATCTAGACCTGTTTATTTAAAAATACCTTATGACACTTTATCTTAACAGTTAACTATGTCTCTCATTCTTGCAAAATCTGGATGCTGCTTTCACAAATGTCTCAAAAAAGCTCATCTTTTGAGATAGAGAAGCATTGCCCATATTTCACATATGAAAATGCATAGATACACACAGAAGCTGACTTACCAAGATCACAAGGAAGGCCTACAGTGGATCAAGGAGCATGGTAACTTGATACAGAAACTAGGATCTTGATACCCAGATAATTTTATTTATTTATATCTAATAAAAGAATAGTGAATTCTGGCTTATTTGTATATTTTATCCACTGATAAGTGAAAATCAGGATTAGTATTAAGGTGTTGTTAAAACAATTTGCTGTCTTCATGATTTTCTATTTCTTTTTTAAATCAGCAAAAGGATGGCTATGTCTTTAAAGCTCCGTTCACCAATATTAGCTAGAATTTTTACACAGAGAAAAAAAAATCTACAATTTGGGTTATTTGCTTATTATATTTTTGGTATATACCTTTACAAGGATATGAAGATAGTGTACTGCTGTCAGCTATGTGCAAATCTCTAATAGGTACGGGGTATTTGTAAGGAGCTAAATGAATACTGATGATAAGAAATTGCACTACTTAGCTACATACATAACTGCAAGCATGAACCACAGACCTACATCAATTCTTGGGGTTTTTTTTGGATAATGCTTTCATAAGATTGTAGTTATACAAAAATTAAGCTGAATATTGATGGCCAGGCATGTCCCCAGTTGATTGTAGGTAACAAAAATAAATAGTTTGAAAAATAAGCATAAATATTTAACAGATAATTCAGCCACGACCAACATGTTAATACTCTCAACTAACAGAAAGTCCTTTCTTCTTTATGTGGGTTGATCTAAAAAGAATGGAAGCAGACCAGATCTTGTATTTACTTGGAATAATAGTATTGAGGAGCTATTACATAGTAGTTCTCATGTGACATAGTACATAGTAGTTCTCATGGCAGAAAATGCCTTTCATGAGCTCACAGAGCTCAGAGTGAACAAAAGAGTCCACAGCGAACAAAAAGCACATGCAGCTTCATACATGTGAAGTGCAACCTTAGTGCTGTATTCTGATTTGTGGTACTTTTCATGTAGTAAATAGGGACTTGAACTGCTGTCAGAAGCAGAAATAGAAGCTGTGCAGGACTGGGGGGAAATATGAACTATGCTAATGCAGTGATTTTGCTGAGTATTGTTTGTTAGAACAACAAACTCTGTGCGTTCCAAGCAGAAATAAGACAAATGAGGCAGAAAGAAAACAGACTATGGGACTGAGCACTGCCAGGCATACCCTGAAAAAAAGTTTAAGAGCGAATTTTAGGCTGAGGCTTAGGGTTTGGATTACAAACAAAAAAGAAATTTCTGCTGTGCTTTCATTCTTAATGGAACTAGGAAAAAAATTACCTATTTTTTAATAATTAAGACTGCTTAAGATGTCAATCAAGACTATCTACAAAACTTCATAAAAAACCTGAATAAAATTTTACAATATGAAGAAAGTAGAAGTTGATATAATTCACTGTATCAGACTTGAAGTGAAGGCTTACAAATGTGTAGGACTCAAAGAATACATTCAGCTGCATCCTTTATCTTGCTTTTTATTGCAAGGGAGGAGTGGCAAGGAGGAGAGTAGAGAGAGGAGGAGGGAGAGATATAGAAAGAAAAAGGGATTGTGTAGGGAAGAGAGGGAAACAGAGAGATTAGTATTTCCTACATTTATCTTCTACTCCAGTCTCAAGACTTCTTATTTTCACAGGTGGAGAAGGCCTAAGGCCTAAATAATCTCTTATTATATGTATACTATAATACAGCTATTACTATCAAATTTTATTTCTTGGTAGCAGGTGAAATCTTCTTACCTTGAAGCAAGTCGAATGACAGTGAATTTGCAAGGCATCTAAGATCATTTTGGCATCTATGCCCAAGGGCTTCCTGCAGTATGTACATATATCTTTTCCAATTATACTCCTGTGTATATAATACAACATCAGCTGTCAGAAAAAGAGCTGCCATTGAGATCTCAAGCAGAAAATTGATAAGGTTAGCACAATGCATGGGAAAGACATTTGTATACTGTACAATGGCCATTGATGGAAAAATGTCATTTGTGTATTCTCTCCCTTGCAGTTGACAGGTGTCATACATGGTCTCCTCTGATGGGCAAATTACTGAGTATAATTGTCAAGTAGCAAAAATACCTTGGTGGATAGAATGGTCTTCTCTGGTGAACTAAATTAAACTGCTGAATATCTGAGAGCATGTACACTAAATAGGGATAAATTGGAGGGGAATGATTTTAATGTTTTAATCACAAAAGTAAACTGGTAGTTGGATCAAACTGCCATAATTAGATCAGTCTGGTTCCCAGAATTCTATGCAATGCAGAAGTGCCTGAAAACTTTTTTGACTTTCTGCACTGCAGACAGAACTCATACCTTCATGGCAATTATAATCACTACATGTATAGAACAGCCTACAAGGTATTCGTGATAGTAGTATTTTAATTTTTTTTCTCAGCTCTTGTTGGACTCCTATGTGACATCACTGTACTTTGGATACAACTGTTGGTGTTGTTTTATCATTACAAAATCAATGGTCTTGCTTCTTTCCTGTCAGTGACAAACTGCTGTACTAATATTTAATCATCCCAAGTTCTTTATCCTTATGTTGGAAAGGAGATAAGTTATTTTGATCAGGTATTTCCAGATAGTAGGGCTGTCTGAAAAAAAAGATAGTCTTCAACAGCAGTCTCTTGTGAACCTATTCCTCCACACTTGTACATAAATTGGTCATTACTGTTCTCACAAAGGAAGGAAATTTTGCAGAGTAAGTGGCTGCCTGAGATAGAAACCTACAGAATCACAAAGCTAACTCTGTCATTTAAGGCATTGGCTCTTGTTTCTATAGATATTTTAAAATGTCAGCTGTGACAAGCCTAACATAATATTAGGCTGAACTGTGGTAATGATTTGATGGCAAGATCTCACTGAAAGAGAGCTTTATATGAAAAGCTGTCTCATGATGGTGACTTCCACTGCTCTCTTTTGTCTGAAGACTTGAATGCTTATGTAAATGTGTGTCCTTTGGTACTCTATGATGTTATTAATGTGTACTTACCGATCAGAAGTAGAATAAACAGTTTTGATAGTATTTCCAGTTATATTTTCTTCATAGACACCAAGTGATGATTTGCTGTGAAGCAGAGAGTACATAGCTATCACTAAGCAGTACATTTTTGTAAAGGTTTCACTACATTGATGATAATATGCAAAATAAACATGCTTGCAAAAAAAATCATACTTGTTGATGAGTTCTTTTTCTGGTTTTTTTACAACCATCAAGAATAAGGTATCAAATAAAAAGTGTAAATTAATAATATAGTAATATTTGTAATATAGTGTCTTTAGACTGTTCTATTTTTGAATGATTCTTCAGCATTTCAAAATTAAATCCAGAAGCTGATTGAGAAAAATTTACGTAACAGTATTGGGTTTCCTGTGCTGATATCTCAGCCTAAATGATACATATCAGAAAATGGTGACAGACTACATTTTTTTCTTTTTCCTCTGCTTCTTTCACTTGTCCTCAAAAAGCTGTCAAACAGCCAAACAAAATTACAATGTCCCTAGAATTAGAGTGAGGGTCTTTGTAATACAGACTTTTCAGTGTATGATTTGTTTTCATTACAGTAACTGTATTGTTCCTTATATCAGAGTAGAAAGGGTTATACTGAATTTAATTATCAGGGAAGTTAAATCTTCCATTTTTAGCAGTCCCATTTCCAAGTTACTTAAATGTCAGTTTTGTTTCCATGGAAGGGGTTAACACGTATGTGACAGTTGAAGAAATAATCTTGCCATATGTGTTTTGAAGATTTCTGAGTTCATTTATTAATCCTATTCTCCAGAAATTCTTAAGGTATATAGTAATTATTACATGTTGCATATCATTCGTGAATAATATTCTGCTATGTTAGGAGCAATTATTTATGATCATGTGTATTTAACAAACATTGGGTTTTATGTGGGAAAATATAAGAGATTTATAACATTTAAGGCGTTATGAAGGTCAGATGCTCTTTTCTACATACCTGTATTTCGTAAAGTACATATGCCTTATTTCCGTACAACACCAGAAATGTGTTTAAATTGCACAGTTACTGATAAGCTGATAAGCTATTTTATTTATATTTCATAGAACAATGGGCTTGTTATTTA